TAGGATTTTGTGTTACAATTTTGTAAAATCTTAGTTTTAAAGAAAATAAGTGTGTGTGTTTTTTTTTTTTTTTTTAAAGCAAGAGACATACTCACTTAGCAATAGGAAATGATTGGCGTTCAAAGGACATAATTACATATCAGACAGCATACTAAACAATATTAAAATTGAGAGCTGTAGGCACACTGGGCATCTTCTTCTTCATCTACATTCACCCTAAAGGGCAGCTGGTACGTTATATTGTGGTTCACAGCTAGGCGTCGACATTTGTGACTTAGGCATTGCCTGAGTGATTTGGCAGCAGACCACCTTGTGCTGATTGTAACAGGGGTATTGAGAGTCGACCTTTCAGTAGGTGGCAACCTGCTGAACGTAAAATTGCCTTGTAAAATCATAAAAAGCCACCCCCCTTCCATTTCCTCCTCTGCCAAATGCTGTAGTTGGTTCTGCAACATTCTGTAGAGGATACTCAACTAACTTTACTCTGTTTTTTTTTTTTTACAGCTAGGCAAAGATCTCTGTGCGTTTCGGCCTAAAACATACACGTCAGATTACCGCAAATCCTTAATGCGTCGTGCATTACGACATGCTTGTTAATTAGCAGCTGGTCTACCCCCCCCCCCACAGTCCGCCCTTCCCACCAAAAGCCTGGAACGGGGGAAACACTGAAGCTTAGACACTGTCTTACCGGGTTGCCATTTCTCTTAGCCGCTGATGTTATTTTTATTCAAAGTTAGGGTTGCTAACATTTTTTAAAATGTGGCTGATAAGCAGAATTCCAAGGTCCTTGTAAACAAAGTTAGATGATTAATTAATTCATTCATTCTTCTTCTCATCGTTCACCGGCTCTAAACTCCGGCGGACAGTTCTAGTTTCTCCTCCATTTCTGGAATTTGGTCTAGTTCCAGACCTTTAGTGTTGTGTGCATATCCATTTTACAGATCTGGCTTATTTGCGAGCAGACTGTTGGCTTCTCGTCTCTCAGGCAAATGCACTCTGACTTCGAAGGAAATACCGCTAATTAGTCGCCTTTTACGACATACTCGTTGAGCCGCAGTGGGTACATTCTTTCAAATAATTAGCTAACCGCAGTCCCCAAGTTCACAGTGAAAGGTCACCCCCATAGATGGCACCGTTTCTGTGCCAACGAAAATCCCCACAATATGACTATCACAGACTGCACGATGTACTCCATATTTCTTCTCTTGGTGATATGACTAAACTACTGAACGTAAACTTGCCTAGATAAACCTCAAGAGCCACACAAACACCAAATGCTTGGGTTGGTTCTGCAATTTCCTGTAAAGGATACGCAACTAACTAACTAGGTCATGATAAAACAATCTAGATTGTCACCTTCTTTTGTGGGCAATTAGTTCTCTTGTGGAATCAAGGACATTTTAATTTCGTTTTTTTTTTTAAATTTGCCTAGGGTATTCACGTCATTCTTCTATAAAAGTACATCTAGGCCGCTTCCAGACAATGTTTCACCAAGCGATCAACTGTCCATGATTAATTTCCGTATATCTTGGATAGGATTTATATAGCTTTTAAGAATTATATTTCTCGTCTCAACTGACAAAGAAAGATCGCTTAGAGTATTCTCCATTGTGTAGAATGCTGCCTTTGCTTGAGCCATTCTACACTTAAGTTCTTTAACACATGTTCCATGTGTTGTTTTCAGGGTACCCAAGTACTTAAACACATCAGCTAACTTCAGGTTTGTCCCATTTACTTTGATGTTGCATTTCAAAAGGTCCATTTTCTTTGTAATTACTATTACTTCTGTTTTTCTGCTATTCAAACTAAGACCCTTATTTTGACTCTCTGTTACAATTATATCCATCATTTCTCGCAGTCGTATTCCATTTTCAGCAATCACAACTATATCGTCAGCATATCGCAGGTTGTTAACAATATACCCATCAACCCCTGTTAGTGGCATACCATGTATAGATCTAATTATTGTTTAGCTGTTCAAACTGAATAAATCTCCGTATGGGTTCCAGGGCCCCATTGTGGGGAAAACAAGAAAAGACCCCATGCAGCCCAACAAGCATGTCGTAGGCGTCAACTAATTAGAGATCTTTCATCTGAAGTCGAAGCGCATCTTTCCGAGAGGCACGGAACCAACAGTCTGCATACAAATAAGTCAGATCTGTAAAACGGATGGGAGCCACTATGGTAAAGCGTCTTGACGCTCGACTGCGGATTAGAAAGTCGTGGGTTAGGGCCCTGACGAAGGCGGACTTTAAAAAAAAATTTCATTGGCTTCCATGTCCACCCAACCTTAAATGGGTACTAGATACAATCCTGGGAAGTAAAGACGACCGGCGGGATGTGGACCACATCACCAATTAAGCACCGATTGATTTGTTCAAAATATAGGACTATTCCTAGACGCCGAAAACGTCTGAAGGCGTGCACAAAAAGGCCTTTTACTTACTTACTAAAACGGATGTGTATGCAACACTCAGATTCTGGAACAAGACTAAAACCCAAATGTGGACTAACATTCAGAACTTTCTGCCGGAGTTTACAGCCGTTGATCGCGAAGAAGGAGAGGAAGACATTGAAGTAATAAGCTGATAGTATCGATCCCTGTCTAGTTTAGTGTTTTGAAAATGATCTTCTTTTTTAACATAATTTTTATTTTCTATTCAGAATATTGTTATTATTATTATTAAACACTTAAACACGGCTTGCGTATAACATTTCTGGCAGGACTGAAAATGCACCATTCTATGTGTCGTCGCCCCTGCTCTATAGGTACTGGAAACAAGTTCAATAGTTCGCTAGTTGGCATAAGTTCGGAATATCTCAATCTGCAATCATGTGACAAATAATCAACGGCTCACGTGATTTTAAAAAAAAACGTGAACTTGAAAATGCCAGCTCGTTAGGATGTCAGCAATCTGCAATATAGATATTTCTAACGTCATAATAGCTGCAATTTTATCTTTTTTTTTTTTATGAATGATAGCTAAAATCTAGTTAATTTTTGACCTGTCAATGACATTGTTTCGTGCCGCACTTGTTCAGTAAAAAACATAACTGTATAAAGACATACACATGTATAGTGTCTTATGTTGTATCGGTGAGACAGTAGGGCATTGCGTAATGGAATTGTAAAGGTCAATATATAAGGATCACTGGTATTGCTTCTTATACGGATGTAAGAGCTGTACTTTCACCGCTGAGATGGGAAGAAGTTTTTAGGCTTTCGAGCATAACTGTTATATACACATTTTACGAAATAGTTATTTAGAACATAAAAACTAAAATAGGGGCCGCGTTAGCGCAGTCGATAAGAAGCTAGCTTTCAAATCCAGCTGCGACTCGCTGCAGCCCACGGTCGGTGTTCGAAACCGGGGTTCACTCAGACTCTAGGAAATGGGTACCAGAGTGATACTCTGGGGTAAATGGAGGAACGTCGCTGTAGCTACAGAGTTACGTGCGAACGGCGACACAGGCGGACAATTCTTATCAGCTGTCCGTACTGGTGGCAGAGCACTTATTGTTTATAACCGTGTGCAGTGATGCTGGTTCACATCTCCCGACTTTACCTTTACCTTTTTATAAAAACTAACAAATATGTCAGAGAAAAAAATACATTTGCAAAACATCAAAGAGCTTCTCTTGGCAGTGGTTAAACGTCAAAGGTAGCGTGGTTCGGGCACGAGGTGAGACATGATTCGATTGCGAAGACTGTACTTCAAGGAACATTGGGGGTTAATCGAAGAAGAGGAGGGCAAAGACGAAACTGGAATGACAACATTAAGAAACGGACAGGACTCAATTATTATATACGTGTTTAACAAGTGGAAGGTTAGTTGCGTATCCTTTACAGGACGCTGCAGAATCAAACCCAACAGCCCCTGGCTGTTGTGTGGGTTTTCTAGGTAAATTTACGACCAGTAGTTCGCCATTGCTTTCTTGATACCACTGTCGAAACAAACGCAAGGCGCATGGCCCGCAGCTGGGATCGAACCCAGCATCCCCGCATTACGAAGCGTTCGCATCGACTTAGCCACACAGCCGACAACAAGCGGAAGACATGAGAAGTTTGATTCTTTTTATTTGCCAGTGCTTTAATCGATAAACCTCCATGACCCTAATGGGTCAAAGGTTATATTATGTTTATGGATTGGGAAGAAAGCAGACGTAGAGGAGATGTGTTTCTTCAGAATGAATGCGGAAGCTGTACCACACGAAATGGCACACTTGGACCAGACGTATGCTGGTCGAGACGAAACTACATCTCTCCACGATCATCCTAGAAACCGGTTTTCAACCAGAGGCCTGGTAAACGTAGACATGATTTACGTTTCCCTCGAAGGTAGAACCCACCTGCCTAAAAGGCGAGGAACCAACAGTCTGCACACACATAAGTCAGATTTGTGAAACGGATAGGCAGGCAACTCTCAAGTCCTGAAACGAGACCAAAGTTCGGAAATTGAGGAGCAGCCAGGACATTCATGCAGAGTTTTGGTTTCATAGAAATAGTAATTTCCCCTAGTTTCTAGCACGCCCTTCTCTAAATCTGGAGCTGGCCGTGGTTTCTAGGTAGTATGATCGGACGCCCGTGTTTATCGTTGGGCACGTAAAAAATACTTTGGCAGTTGGAAAAGATTATCCTAACGGAGCTATGCGGGCTAATTTTAGAGGTAAAAATCTACCCGAAGTATTTTAAGATCCTCCTCGCCTGTGCTACGCAGTTCGCGCACTGGGCTGAGATTATTCAGACTTAGGCTTGAGTCAGTAGTAGAATGAAGAACTTTTTGGTTACCCTTTGTGCCATGAACAACCTAAACCTAAACCTATTTTTTTTTTTTTTTTTAAATCGCCATTGTCATTAAAAAAAATATCCCATATGCTCTGTAAAAACACAGATGAATATAATTGTTACAGTAATGTATTAAAAATATACTATTTTTTTTAAATTAGAGAAATCATTAGAAGATTGATCAATGCATTAGTAAAAAAAAAAAAAAAACTGCATGACAGAAATGAGTACTATCACATGTACGAGATTCGATTACACAGTTAAAATTATTCTTCTGGGAGATCATAACGTCGGTAAAAGTTCTTTCTTGGCTGATCTGGCTTCGGGATCGAAAGAGTTCGAGTGCCATTGCATAGATTACAGACCTAACGGCCATGTCGATTTGGATATGTGGAAGCACGGGAAAAGAATTCTGACCAAAATTGTGGACACTGGAGGTAAGTGGGATTTTCCTAACTGTTTGTGAATTAAACGTCACCGTTTGTCTTTTATTCTTTTTGTTGGCGTTCACAAGCTGTTAACTCCGGCGGAAAGTTTTAGTTGTTCATCCATTTTTGGACTTTAGTCTTGTTCCAGAATTTGTGATTTCCGTACACAATTCTGGCTTACCCTTATGCAGACTGTTGGTTCCTCGCCTCTCAGATGCACTCTAACTTCAAAGAAACATCCTTAATTAGATGTTTCTTACGACATGCTTGTTGGGGTCAGAGGGGTTATTATTTTTTATCCCCACAATGGGGACCCAGAACTCATACGTGAAGTTTTTCTTTTAACTCGATTATCTGTTGATTAGGTTCGTAAATCCAGGATATCCGGTTTTATTTCAGCTACGGGCGATTTGGCAGTAGAAATCTTTTCTTTGTTTTCAATAATGCTATTGAGTAATGCCTTTTCAGAAAGCAAGGGCAAACTAATGCGCTTTAAATTGCCTAGCAATCTCACAAACAGCTGAAAAAAGGCTGGGGTTGATTCTGCATAGTCCTGAAAGGAAAAGACAACTAAGATGTTTTGGGGCGCTTGAATTTATGCGTCGACTGGCGAGGTCGATGACCGTCTCTCCACAACTCATTTCGTCAATATTGTGCCAGGGAACAGTATTGTGTTAGGGAACAGTATTGTGCCAGGGAACAGTATTGTGCCAGGGAACAGTATTGCGTCAGGGAACAGTATTGTGTCAGGGAACAGTATTGTGCCAGGGAACGAGTATTGTGTCAGGGAACAGTATTGTGCCAGGGAACAGTATTGTGCCAGGGAACAGTATTGTGCCAGGGAACAGTATTGTGTCAGGGAACAGTATTGTGTCAGGGAACAGTATTGTGTCAGGGAACAGTATTGTGTCAGGGAACAGTATTGTGTCAGGGAACAGTATTGTGTCAGGGAACGCTTGACCTCGAAATGCTCGAACAAGACATGCATATTCAGTAAATACAAAATATAAAGGACACCTTTTTCACGGCTTTAGAAGTATTGGGCATATAAGGGCTAGACCTATATTTAATAGAGCAATCGACACTCGGTGTGTGATATGGTCAATATCACACCGGCTGCCTTATTTTCCCAGGATTTCACCTGCTACCAGTTCAAAGCTGAGTTGACCGAGGAGTGAAGATCATATCTGGAGAAAGCCCGGTACCGGTACCCACGACCTGGGATCCGTAGTCGATCGTCTAGCCGCTACATCAAGACAGCTCCTGTCCTAGAAAGTAGCCCTCCTATAATTGTATTTGTAACCGCCCTCTAACTATGTGTAAACTCCTTATGGTATACTGGATGAAGAAATTAACAACCGATATAGTATGAGAAGAGGGAAAATGGAACATGCTGTGACCACTGGAAAGATCTGTGGAAGGAGGGATAGAGGAAGACAACAAGAGAAGATTCTTGACAGTCATGTTGCATTGCATGGAGGTGTGTCGGCACACGAACTGATACATGCTGCAGAAGACCGCGGATTGTGGGGAGGCATGATCACCCACGCCAGTCGGCAAGGCACCTGATGTTGATAGCTATTCCCCCCCCCCCCCCCCCCCCCCCCCCCCCCCCCCATTACCGCTTCAGGCAATCCCAGTCAACACAAAGAGACTTCTCATACAAAGCAAATTCATCGCTACGTTATGATACCAGGGCCAGAGATGGTCATTCACAACAAACCATAAAAGACAATTGGAAAAGATAAAATCAGGAATAATTTCATAAGATAAGCGCAGAATCAGTTCGAAACACCTACAAATACAATACATTCCCACTTAAAAAGAATATTTTGGGATGCCATGCCGTACAAGGCATACAAACTAAAAGAGGAGAAGGACGTAGAGTACAAGGTAGACAAAAAACAAGATGGATAGATAACATCAGAGAAACTCTACAACATCAAGATATGTCAATGGTCAAGGCGATCAGAAGAGCAAGAAGCAGAACATTTCATGTCTCTCTCAAAACCGGAAGTGGTAACACAGAAAGTGAGGAAAAAGAAGAACCAAAAAAAAAAAGAAAAAAGAAGAAGAAGTAGCAGCAGCAGTAGCAGCAGCAGTACTACTAGTAGTAGTAATATTAGTAGTAGTGATGGTGGTGGTAGTAGTAGTGGTACCGAATACCTGAAGTCCCCCTGTGGGTTCTGGGGACCCATTTGGGGTAAAAAGAATAGATTCACTGACACCCTAACAAGCATGTCGTATAAGGCCACTGATTATGGTTTTGTTCTAACTTGCTGTGTTGGAACCGCAGATATCGCACCCTAGTTGTAGACCACTAAATTACGTGATGATTGCCCTTTAAAGGAGAACACAAAAGAAGAAGAAGAAGAAGAAGAAGAAGAAGAAGAAGAAGAAGAAGAAGAAGAAGAAGAAGAAGAAGAAGAAGAAGAAGAAGAAGAAGAAGAAGAAGAAGAAGAAGAAGAAGAAGAAGAAGAAGAAGAAGAAGAATGTTCATTAATATGTGCATTAACATGTTGGTTATATGTCTTTCTAAAACATCATCATGTAGCAGGTCGTTTGCAGAACGTCGCTCTCATCACTGTCTGCCAGAGAGAAACTCGGTCTCTCGCCAGCTCTCCCTCTTCGTACACTTTCGAATTCAAGGAGTCATGTGCCCAACTTCGTGTTTCTGCCACTGCCCCTCCTTCCTGGTACCATGCCTACTGCTATTTCTTTCTCAGAAAGCCGTGGTGCTTGACATGACCAACATATTTCAGCTTCTGAGACAAGATGCTGTTTATTAGCCAATCTTCCTTGATGGTGGAAACTTTAAGAATGTCAGCTTTTCTTCTCTTCTACGCCCATGGTATTCTAAGAATCTTTCTATAGCATTTCACACCAAAAGCCATTATTTTCTTTCTTAAGGACAATGAGATAGTCTACGTCTCACATTCGTATGTTGCTGCTGGAAGATGCATGCTCTAAAAATTGTAATCTTGATTTCCTTGCTGGTGCTTAGCCATAGACTTTTATTGCTGTTTAATCTCTAAAACCAGAAGCTACAAATTACTGTTACCAGTCACGACCTGAATTGTACTCTCCAAAAATACCAGCGGAAGTCAATAAGTAAGTCACAAATGGTTGTTAAAACAAGAAAACAATTAAAGGCGATAACAATTTGAAAACAATTTATTATTACACATACACTGTTCCTTTATTTTTCAACATAATCTCCACCAACACTGATGCATCTGTACTATCATTTTATTGGTCCTCACAAGCCTGCTGCATACAAAAGGCGTGCTCTGTTTTCTAAACCACATTTTCACTTCACATTTAACTTCCCCGAAATGTCTCCCGCCAAGATTGGCTTTCAGTGGACCAAAACAGTGGAAATCGCTAGGGGCTAATTCGGGGGCTGTAAGGTGGATGTTCCATTAGTCCCCACTTAACCGAGTCGTATGTGGTCTGGCATCGTCATGAAGCAGCAGTACACTTCTCTAGTCAGCAGACTTGGGCGTTTTCCTGAAATTGCATCATTAAGCATGGATAGAACTTTAGAGTATGAATCGGCATTCACATTGTCACCCTTTGAAAAAAAAAAAAAATCGGTTAAAAAGCAATCCCAGAACACTGTCAGCATAACCTTCCCTGCTGATGGCGTAACCTCGAAATTTCGAACACAAGGCGAAGACGATGTTTCTATTGCATGGAAGCACGCTTTGATTCTAGCTGGTAGTAATGTACCCATGTTTCGCCCCAGTAATAATCCTGTTCAGCATGCCTTCTCCTCCATTTGCGTATCGACAGAGATGCTGCAAGGACAGGCCTTATCGGTTCATTCTGTGTTCATCCGTCAGTTGTCTAGGTACCCACCTTGGGCACACATTCTTAAATTGCAATCGATCATGCATTATGTTATATGCTTAACCATGTGAGCACCCAATCGCAGCTGCTACAGAGTCAACCGTTACTTGCCTGTCACTTCTAATTATCTCGTCCATCCGCTGCATGGATGCGTCTGTTGCAATCTCACCAGGACGACCAGATTGGACTTCATCAACAGCTTTAGAGCGTCCTTGAGAATTTTATTTTAATCCAGCTATGCACCGCTTTACAGGATCAACATTTTTCAGCATAAACAGGAATCATTTCCTTGAGAATAATCTATCAGACAGCCTTCTCCCCGGACCTATAGAAAAACACATAACAGCACGCTGTTCTTTAAGGGTACACCCCATAAGTACAGTCGTCATTTTGTTTATGTGTTGCCAAAGCTCATGCAATACCAAGCGCCACCTAACGAGCGGAGACATACCTTTCGACGATACTGTCACCTGATGACGTCTTTAGAAACTACCAACTACATTTTCCTTCCATCCCATAACCTTTTGTGGCTTACTTATTAACTTTCCCTAGTATTATTTTAACAATGTTTATCTTGGTGCGAAGAATCGAAAAGGAAACTTGACCTTAGACCCCTTCTAGCACTTGGGTTCTGCTGTGACGTTGTGAATAGACGCTTATCTAGCATCCCGAAGATCGTTGGTTCGAACACGCATCGAGACGGATGCATTCTCAAAAGTGACCCAGGTCGACCGAGTCTGGAATAGATAGGTAATGTCATGGGAGGTAAAGGCTGCCGACGTGACGTCACATCAGCCGTCGATTAGTCTATACAAATGAGTCTAGCACAATGCCGGATTTAGGCATGAACTAAATAGGTAAGAGCTTAGCTAAGCTACAATTTTTTTTTCAAACTCATGCAGTTTTCTTTTAATATATATATATATACATTGGTTAGTTCGACGTTAGTCTCCCCAAATAGAGTCGGACCTTTTCATTTACAAGTTTGTTGAGGCTGGCCGACTTTCCTGAAGGTTACGGGTGTGTCCCGCTCTGTTAATTGGTTTCTTGATGTCTTGCATTTACGTTTTAATTCCGAGAAAGATTGCCTATGACATAGCTTGCAACACTAAGAGGGAGGGGGGGGGGGGACGGGTGTTGTTAGACCCAGTTTCTTCATGTTTTTGGAGTGTTAAAAGCGCTGGCGTGCTGAAATATACAACATAAGATATCAACGGCATTGCGAACCACAAATGGTCAACCGCACCAGGGCTGCACAACGAGCGACAAACACTTGGTGACACAAAGTATCACCATTCGGAAGAGAATCACCTGGGCGAAAGTCCCAGAAACTCCGTTCAACTGTTAGGTTATATTTAAGGCTTCCGACAAAGCCGGGATGGGTCCTCAAAAATACCCCCCCCCCCCCCCGCCAGCTAAAAAAATGCGTTCTATATTGGAGTAGGCTGACTTATTTTGGCTACATAATTTAAGGCTATTCTTATTAGTCGCTATGTTTTCACTTGTTATAACCTATTTAAATTGAATAAAATAATCAGCTTATGTTTCAACTTCTATCTTTTATTAACTTACAAACTTCAAGTTTTCTGAGATTAACAGGTCTAATTTAAAACGAAAGGGGCCTCAGGGCCTATGTGGATGAGGGCCTCACCATGTCTTAATCCCGCCCTTGTCTACCATCATATGCCAAATTCCGCACTGGCGTAAAAATGGTCATTGTTTTAACAATTAAAACATTGAGGGAGGGGAAATAATTAGCTACAGTTCTGACATAAGTTTCGTCCCTTTGAATATAGGACAAGAGAGGTTTCGCAGCATCACGGCATCGTTCTACAGGGGAGCCCAGGGTTGTCTGCTCCTGTTTGATGCCGAGAAACCGGAATCGTTTAGCCACATCTATAACTGGTATTTGTGATTATCTGTCTATCTGATGTCTGGCTGTACGTATTTCTGTATCTGATGTCTGGCTGTATGTCTGCGTGTGTCTGTCGACATCACGGCACATGTGCATTCCCATGCGGGCTGAGGTCTCCAATGCAGCAACCACTTCAAGGTGCCTCAACTGATTGTTCCCATGAGAAGGTGAAATAGTGTCTTACAATGTCTTTGTCTGAAAGACGGCATAGCCATGCTTCACCAAGCTTTACCCCCAGGTCACGAAATCATGTTAATGTCAGAAGCAGCCAGAAGCAGGCAGCAGCCAGGAGCCGGCAGCAACCAGAAGCAGGTAGCAGCCAGGAGCAGGAAGCAGCCAGGAGCAGGTAGCAGCCAGGAGCAGGTAGCAGACAGGAGCAGGTAGCAGCCAGGAGCAGGCAGCAGCCAGGAGCAGGCAGCAGCCAGGAGCAGGCAGCAGCCAGGAGCAGGTAGCAGCCAGGAGCAGGTAGCAGCCAGGAGCAGGCAGCAGCCAGGAGCAGGCAGCAGCCAGGAGCAGGTAGCAGACATGAGCAGGCAGCAGCCAGGAGCAGGTAGCAGCCAGGAGCAGGTAGCAGCCAGGAACAGGCAGCAGCCAGGAGCAGGTAGCAGGCAGGAGCAGGTAGCAGACATGAGCACGCAGCAGCCATGAGCAGGTAGCAGCCAGGAGCAGGCAGCAGCTATGAGCAGGGAGCAGGTAGCAGACAGGAGTAGGTGGTAGACAGGAGCAGGTAGCAGACAGGAGCAGGTAGCAGACAGGAGTAGGTGGTAGACAGGAGCAGGTAGCAGACAGGAGCAGGTAGCAGCCATGAGCAGGTAGCAGAAAAGAGAAGGTAGCAACAAGGAGCAGATAGCAGACTTGAGTAGGTAGCAGATAGCAGCATAGATCAGGTAGCAGACAGGATCAGGTAGCAGTCAGGAGCTGGCAGCAGCCAGGAGCAGGAAGCAGCCTATTGTGATGACACCCCAACCATAGTGAATGTGTGTTTTACGATGGTCTTAGGCGACCCATGTGAAAGGGTCGCTCGACCCGAACAGGGGTCGCGACTCAAAGGTTGAGAGCCGCCGGTGTAGGCAAACCTACACTAGATGAACGTTTAGCATCGACCAGAGTTTTCAGTTCGAACCAACCTCAAATAGATACCAGGAAATTTCCTTGAAAGTAAAGGCGGCCGACGTGATACAGGTCACATCAGCCACGGTATGCAGATTTGTTTATAAAGTACAGGGTTAGTCCCATAGGCTGTATGCCTTAAAAGGGAAAGGTTAAAGGTTAAAGTTTATTGCACCGGGTTTTACCCTATATGTCTCAGCGTCTCTTTAGCCGCCTGCTGAGAGCGGCACACAAAGCACTAACTCCGTAGCTCATGCGACGTTCCCAGAGGATTGTGAAAATTACGCCCATGAACTGAACGGGGCAGCCATGACACGAACATACGACCTTCAGAACACGAAGCAGATGGCTTAAACCCTTCACCACAGAGACGCGCTTTTACCCCCCCCCCCCCCCCCCCCCCCTCCCCCCACGCCCCCAATCACTTGAAAGAACTGACCAGCTGCCACATTATGCACCCAATGCAAACGGGAAGACGCTTGGACAGAGTTGATATCATCAACGCTGTACGGACTAGGTTTAGAGATAACGATAAGTCTCTGATGGGATTGGGTCACTCAGCATTTCGCGAATGGCTGGCTTAACCTTTATTTTTGAGCCGGGTCATATGGTGTTCGATGCAACGAGCGTGCAGATAATATTGCGGTTGCTATAGCTGATCAAGTACTGAACCTAATCGAGGCTATCAATTCTTGCGCAGCAATTACCCCGATGACGGATACGGCAAAGGGCATAAAGCCGTATCCCTGTCTAGGCCGATGGACCCGAGGGGAGCGGGATGCAGTATGGAGCTGTAGGAAATTAACATTTCACCAAGGGGACGTTTCATAAATAATCGACACAGAACAGGCGTCATCAGTTGTTTAACTTGTGGAGAGTTTGGGGAGGAGACTGGAATACCTTTGGGCCTGTCCGGAGCGCTGTGAAGATAATATTTACTAATAACACTACCAAAAAAAAGACTTGGTGTACCCATGCCGATTCTAAGTACAATTGGTTACGTAAGATATTATTTGCACAACGAACGACTCAATAAATGATTGATTGTGGGTTGTACAATTTCAGGTACAACGATTTGGAGATGTATACAAACAAACAGCCAATGTCCAGCTTTCTGGTGGGAATCAACATGCAATCAAATCAGCGACAGGTAAATTAGACAGCAAGTTCCGTTGCGATATGGGCCACCAGCAGAATTAAGCCCACCTACATAAGATAACAGGTTCCTTCCTGCCTGACCATACACTACACCGCCCTCGTCCACCCAAATGGAATACTTGTTACTTCGTAAACATTCATGACATACTCCCCCTCCACACACACACACACACACACACACACACACACACACACACACACACACACACACACACATACACACACATACTAGACTACATGTTACTTGGTAAACTTACACGACAACCCAGCCACACAAGACTATACTTACTTGGTAAACATACATACACAACAACCCAGCCACGCTAGACTACATGTTACTTGGTAAAATTACATAACCCAGACACACTTGACTACAAGTTACTTGGCAAACATACACGACAACCCAGCCACACTAGACTACAAGTTACTAGGTAAACTTACACGACAACCCAGCCACACCAGATTACAAGTTACTTGGTAAACTTACACGACAACCCAGCCAAACTAGACTACAAGTTACTAGGTAAACTTACACTACAACCCAGCCACACTAGATTACAAGTTACTTGGTAAACATACACGACAACCCAGCCACACTAGAATACACGTTACTTGGTAAACATACACGACAACCCAGCCACACTGGACTACAAGTTACTTAGTAAACATACACGACAACCCAGCCACACTGGACTACAAGTTACTTGGTAAACATACACGACAACCCAGCCACATTAGACTAAAGGTTACCCGGTAACTGTGTTTCTGTGCCCCAATATATCTGTTATACAGTTGAACGGGATGAGATGAGATTTCTTCTCTCTGTAAATTTATGTAACCAATGGTGCCATTTCAATGGTTTGAAATGAATTCTGTCCGTATTCCATAGTTGTGGATTTCAAGCTGTACGATAGACATGGCCAATAAAGTGGGGGTGGGGGGGGGGTGGGGGGGGGGGTGCCTAGTTGACCATGTTCTTTGTACACTTGTATCCACACGCCGTCTGGAGGTGACAGGTTTTTTCCTGGCACGGCAACTGTAGCTTTCGACTTTTATGTTGTCTAATGTGTTCTTCTATCTTTCTACTTCTTTCTAAAAGTGTCGATCAATACATTGTTATTTTATTAATATATGATATTTAACGACCTTAAGGGTTCCCCCTCTGTTTATTTATAGCAAAATCTTAGCAGTATCGCCTGGTTGATTTTGCACCTTGTTGTCTGGTGTCTCTTTTAATATGTATTTTTTTTTTAAATATATAAGACAACCAGTTATTGTCTATAATGTTTTTAATGTAAATATTATTCTCACAGGTGTGGAAGTCAGGTGAAAACCACTGCACTTATTTCTGGAAGAGGCGAAAAAAAGGTTTAGGAGCCTTGATATAATTAGATCAGTGGTTCTCAACCTATGTGGGGAACGACTCTTGCACAGGGGTCACATAAGACCATCAGAAAATTTATTTGCAAAAAATAATTTTATGGTTAGGGTCACCACAACACGAGGAACTGTATTACATTGTCGCTGCATCAGAAAGTCTGAGAATCACGATAATGAAATGTTTAAACATGTATACTAACTAATATAACACGCATATTACATACTAAGAGACTGGCCAGCTGATTGAAATAATACTAAACTCTAATCCGGGTTATCGGGGTACTGCTCCCACAACAATGACGTCATAAAAGGCTTTTTAGAGGTTTGCTAAAGTTGGATTGTTTGAGCTAAAAAAGCGCAAATATCGCAGCCTTCTTGTAAACCACAACAGAGCCTGCCAACTATTTTTCTAATGGAGAACATAGCAGAAGAAGGTCATCGCACAGCTCACTCAGACTAGACTTTAGTAACCGTTCTGTGGTGGCCCAGTACAACTGTGATATAAGATTTTACGGTTGAAAACGGTTTCCAGAATGTATAGTTGTTTGAGTCTCATCGTTGAGATGTAACAAAGCCTGGCATATGATATCACAACATCTAGTTTGCGAATGGAGGTGGAGGCAGTCACTGGTGACTTCCGCAGGATTGAGAGTCAGCTGTACATACATGCCGTCATTGTAACTGACTCACAGAGTACGTTGAGCAAGGTGAAAACAAGCATGCCCCGTTCACAGTGGCAGGCCTTGCTTACGGGGTCCTGGGTAGTTAGTTTGGATATTTTCTCCAAGTAATGCTGGTGTGTTGAGAAACGAGCAGACAGATATACTGGCAGGTTCTGCACCACTCGGTGGTGAACTGATGTATGAAAAGCTTAATGTTGTGAGGGCCCTTTGAGAGCGAGTGAGCAGTGCGATGGCACAAATTGATCACTACGGTCTGAGAAGAATGGCGCTGCGGGGAATTACCAGGAAATCTGGCCAACGCTCAACACGTAAAGGAAAAGCGAGACGAATATACAATCAGACAACAGTCACTGGAACCATCAGAATTGAAACTCTTCGCTTGCTGCTGAAGATGGGGACATAGTGTTTAAGGGAGTGCCCCTAGTGCTATGATATCGATTCGTAATTGAACATTTAACAATCAACATCTTTGAGATGTTAGTTCTACAGAACGCAGAAGAAAAAAGAAGAAGAAGGTATTGTCAAGACACACCGAGCAGAGTGATATGTTATACTTCTGGTGAGAAGTGATCTCTAGCTGGTTGACCTGCCAGCACACATCCAATCAGGAATGCACGCGTGTCTGTGTGTGTGTGTGCATAATTGTGTAGCGAGTGTGTAAGACACAGCACAATGGGTGGATAAGACTATAGGTTGTGTGCATGTTTGTTACAGTCAGTCGTCAAATTAGTTCCAGTTAGTCTGGTTTCTAGTTGGTTCTGTATAATTGTCTACCAAAAAAAAAGGGACATGGCGAGAGAGAGAGAGAGAGAGAGAGAGAGAGAGAGAGAGAGAGAGAGAGAGAGAGAGAGAGAGAGAGAGAGAGAGAGAGAGAGAGAGAGAGAGAGAGAGAAGGGGGGGGGGGGAAGGGGTTGGCCGTCTAATTCCGAAAACAAAAGGCTGTCATCAATATGGGAAAGGGGCGGGCTGTCCCTAAATTTGTGAGGTAGTCTGTGCGGCACACCCCCCCCCCCCCAACTCACTTTCAAAACCATTTTCTTTGTCAACCATGTAGAGAAGATCCCCGTTTAGGTCTGTGTTAATGCATTTAACACATTTGTTTTATATAATGCATTTTTAATTTATGTACTCCTCATTCAACACATTATGGGTTATTATTGTTATTATTAATAACTTAAACAAGGCTTAAGACCCTTGAGTGCTCACCCCTAGACATTTTGCCAGGGACGTTTTCTTTGTATTGGCTCCCTTGGTTAATATACAAGGTCCGACAATTAAGTAATGAGACTGATTTTATTGTGGCTGAGACAAAAATGCCATCTATGAAGCAAAGCATGGAATCTAAAGAGGCAACATTCATCTATGATCTAGCAACTTCTCAAAGCCGCTTGATAAGCAGAAAACAAACAAACCGTCATTTTGTTGACCAAGAGGTGCATTGTTACGTAATCAACACGGAGCAAAAAAACTAACAATAAATTCTTTTTAAAACTCAGAAAAAAGCGCCATGAAACGGTACATCCAAACAAAACGTTTATGGAGATACTTGTTGCACAAATGTTCAGGTGGTATTCAGGATTCAAAAGTGGTGTGAAAAGAAAGTTCTGACACGCAACTAGATCTGGACGTCAAATCTCTGTTCGTAATGATGAACTCATTGCAAAAGTCAGAGAAACGGATACAAGATCATTGTTTTACTGTGAGGATGATGGCAGATGAATCTGGTGTTAATAGAGAGACCATTCATAAGATTTTAGTGCAAGATTTTGGCAAGAAAAAAGTTGCTTGTCGGTTTGTACCACATTCGCTGTCCTGATGACCAAAAACATCAGCGGTTGAGTACCCAAGAGACTTCATCAAAACAAGAATGTTTGGCTCAAAAACAAGTGCGTGTTCTCAGCCTTCCACCCTATTCCTAGATTTTTCACCCTGTGATTATTTTCTTTTCCCTAAATTGAAGTTATGATTAAAAGGACGCTTCTTTAACGATATTGATGACATCCAAAGGGCTGTAACATCGACTTGAAGGGCCATAACAACAGAAGGACTACAGCGGTCGTTCCAGTGTTTCTTAGTGCCACTTGCTGTATCAATGCACAAGGGCTTACTTTGAATCAGATACAAGTTAGATCTTCAACTGTTGATTATTTTAATTTGTATGGAATTAGTCTCATTACTTAATTGTCGGACCTTGTAGTATGATAAATCTTAACTGACAAAACGATAAAACATTTCTCAAACTGTTTTCTGCCAGGTACTTCCAGAACAAGCCGAGAAACTAGCCACCCAGCTAGAGATGCAGCTACACGAACTTAACCTTCGAAAAAAATCCAGCTCCCTAGAAATAATCCACGCCCTGTTGGATAAAATCATCATCCACGCGTCCCGTTTGCCATCCTTGACCATCGACATCATGCCCTATCAGATCCGGCAACACCTGGCCGAGATAAGGCTCAACAGCGCAATAGATGAAGATGACGAAGAACGGGGGAAATTCCATTGTGCTTGTTGATTTGTTTGCTCTAAACAAAATTATAGCTATTCTTTATCTTCTTCCTACGGGACCTCTGGTCATCCGTTTAATCCACCATGGGCCATAAACTGGGATGTCATCTCAAGGTCTCTTAGGTTTCCCCAAAGCCTAGTTGTAATGTCTTTAGGGTGTGGCCACATGCTGCTTCACAGCTCCACCAGGAGAAGACAGTATAGCTATTCAAAATGACGGTGACATAATGTTGAAAGAAGTGAACAGTGAAGCCCTGTCAACTAGAGCACCCGCTTGAAGCTGCATGGCAACAATAGCTGCGACTTTCATCCGCCTGAGCTCAGATTTATCAGTTATGGGCACAGATTTATCAGTTATGGGCACAGATTTATCAGTTATGGGCACAGATTTATCAGTTATGGGCACAGATTTATCAGTTATGGGCACAGATTTATCAGTTATGGAAACAGATTTATCAGTTATAGGCACAGATTTATCAGTTATGGGCACAGATTTATCAGTTATGGGCACAGATTTATCAGTTATGGAAACAGATTTATCAGTTATGGGCACAGATTTATCAGTTATGGGCACAGATTTATCAGTTATGGGCACAGATTTATCAGTTATGGGCACATATTTATCAGTTATGGGCACAGATTTATCAGTTATGGGCACAGATTTATCAGTTATGGGCACAGATTTATCAGTTATGGGCACAGATTTATCAGTTAGGGAACAGATTTATCAGTTATGGGCACAGATTTATCAGTTATGGGCACAGATTTATCAGTTATGGGCACAGATTTATCAGTTATGGGCACAGATTTATCAGTTATGGGCTCAGATTTATCAGTTATGGGCACAGATTTATCAGTTATGGGCTCAGATTTATCAGTTATGGAAAAACAGATTTATCAGTTATGGGCACAGATTTATCAGTTATGGCTACAGATTTATCAGTTATGGGCTCAGATTTCATTATGGTCTCAGATTATCAGTTATCGGGCTCAGATTATCAGTTTTATGGGCTCAGATTATGGGCTCAGATTTATCAGTTATGGGCTCAGATTTATCAGTTAATGGGCACAGATTTATCAGTTATGGGCTCAGATTATCAGTTATGGGCTCAGATTTATCAGTTATGGGCACAGATTTATCAGGGGATTTTATCTCAAGGTAAAAATTCCAAATGAGGCGGGGCGGTCACATTTTCCTTAAGACCTCCGATACGACGGGGGTTCCCGCATCTATGCTGAAACTTCGTGAATTTTTGTTGTTCTTTTTCTTATTATTTTGGGAATTGATCAGAAATAAATACAAAAAACAAAACCCCCCCTTTTTTGCTGTTGTGGGTTTTTAAAATTTACTCCATATTTTTGCCATTCTTTTGGTATAGCTTCCATACCACCAAAAAACCCCCCTGACAAACGTCCCCGAGCGGACAAACCCACCCCCCCATAGAAGCTTTTAAGCCAACCCAAAATACAGCTAGACATGCAAAAAAGTGTCACTAAAAACACAAATTCCCCCGTCCCCATTTTAACTGAATCCATAAAGGAAAATCTTTTGGGGGAAAAAAAAAAAACTTTCCAGATTTTTTAAATCCTTTCCGCTTAAGGTGTTCTCAAATTTTAATTTTTTGGGGGTTTTTCCCCTTCGGGGATTCTCACTTTGTTTTTGCTAGTGATTTAAAATATTGTTGATTTGAGTGGAGTTGTTATTTTTCTTTTAATTGTTCTTTGCTGGTCTTGATTGCCCTTTAAATTTGATCTTTTGGAAATTTGTGTTAAAAAGGTTAATGAAATACATAAATAATAATAAAAAATAAAATAAAAAATAATAATAAAAAATTTTTAAAATAGAATAAAAAAAAATTTTTTTTTTTTTTTAATTTAATTTTTTATTTTAAAAAATTTTTTAAATTTAAATTTAAAAATAAAAAGTTTTTTGACCACAAGAAAGAAGAAAGGGGTTCTCTTTTTTTGCCGCACAAATTTTTCCCCGTATTTTTGTATTTTGTTTTGCCCCCCACAATTCCCCCTTTCTTTTCCTTTTTTTTTTTTGACCCCGCAATTTCCTCCCTTCCCCAGGGAAAACTGGCGGCGCTAGGTTTTTTGGACTAAAAAATTTAATTTAGAGGGTAGCAACTACAATAATTGAAACTTTTGAACTAATTTAACTAGGTTGTTTCGCTTTATACAATAACAATGTTGCTATAATAATTATGTGATCAGTTATTAGGAAGAGCAGTGGTTAGGTGCCTGCATACCAACCTGAGGATTAAGTCCACACGGGAAGTACTTCCTCAAAATTAAATTTTGGGTTCCCTGGACGATCAAAAATAAAATGAAAAAGGAAAAAACCCAAAAGAAAGGACGACCACATGCAAAATACCCCTGAACCAGCTAACACAAAGATCAAAGCTGAAGAAATATGAAAATACAGAGAAAGGAGAAGACCACACAAGAGATGGAACATCAAACCAAAAAAACCCTTTATGAAATAAGATGTTTTTAACCCCAGAAAACCCCCCCCCCCTCCCCCGGTCCCCTTTTTTCGGTTTTTGTTTTGTTTTCCCCCCTGTTTTAAACGCGATTAAACCCCGGGTTTCTAAAATTAGCGGAGGCTGTGACAATTAAAACAAGTAATACACCACCCCTGCCAAAAAATTAAAAGTGGGGAATGGAGGGAAAAGAAGGGGGAAAAACCCCAAAGGGGAAAAACCGTACAAGGGGATGGAAAAGCCCGCATCACTGACGATTTACGAAAATTAAAACCCGCTTTAAATTTGGGGAAACCGTCTACTACTTGGTCGTCTGCATGTTTATTTCTCTGCTTGTCTAATTGTCGGACACCATAATCATCGTTTTATTGCAATTATTAGAACAACAAAATTTTTAAACCCTTTCCTGTCGTTCCAAAATAAAATGATGTTTCGTTTTCTTCACTAACGTAGTTTCTATACATTTACCTTTTGTTCTTTAAATTTTTAAAACTCACGGTCTTTTTGGGAAAACAATAGAGGCTTTTAAATGAAAAACTGTTTGAAAAAATTCTCAGAAAAACCATCAACAACAAAACAACAAAAAAATTTTTCATTTTTTTATTTTTTTTTTTCTCCATCTAAAACATCCCAAAGATACCTTTTTTAGTTTTTTCGAGTTTTCCATGCATATCAAAAACTCCAAGAATCACAGCCAAAATTCTTTGTATATATATATATAATATATATATAAATAATTATATATATATAAATTTTTTTTTGTGTGGTGTGTGTGTGTGGGTTTAATATATTATGTAAATTATACAATCATTAAAAAGTTTTTGTACTAATAAAAGGGGCCGGGGCCCTTTCCAAAAAAAATGGTAACATGAAAATTTTGCAAAAGGACCAGGAATGGGAAATAATGAAATGCCGCAATATTTTAGAGATTAGAAACTAAAAATAGTTAAAAACGTTTTCACTTTTTTTTTAAACCGTTTTTGTGTCGCAAAATGAAAAAACAATCTATTTTTTTTTTGACCCTTATTTGGAGGGCACTAGCTAGTGCCGGGATCCCCCCCCTTTAAGATTGTGGTCATCCCCCCCCCCCCAAAAAAAAATATAAAGAATTATATTAAGTATAATTAGATATAAAATATATTATATATTTTAATTTTATATATATATATAAATATTATATTATAGTTTAAAATTTTTTAAAATAATATATAATCTTTTTTATATATATTTTATATATATATGGGTATTTATATATGGTTACCAGGGAAAAATGCTGCGGGGAGTAATCAAAGAGAAAACCAGCAGGAATGGGGTCATAATGACAAAACCAAAATAAAAAAATCGGAACAAAACCCATTAAAAAATGACAAAACAATGACAAAAAAAGTAAAAATTTCCCCACAAAGAGAAAATGCCTTTCCCATATATTGATGCAAAAAACGGGGAAAAAGGACGCAAATCACGGGGTAGACCGGGAGCAAAATTTGAAAAGAAAAAATTTAGATAAAACTCAAATAATGTTTTTCGATAGTCGAGGGGGTTCGGGAAAGGCAAGAACCCGGAACTGTACATCTCCTCGACAGCTAAAAGCTTACAAGAAAAAAGAAAGAACAAAAAGGGGTTTAAAAACACCAACCGAACAAAAAAACAATCCGGGAAACGGTACGGGGGAAAATGTTTTCTTAACACTTCAAATAATAAAAGGGTTTTGGGTTCCCCGGGCCCAAATAAAAAAAAATCAACCAGCAACTAGAAAGTCCAAACCTTTAAAACAGGGGGACTACAAGACACAAAGGCCCCACTAAGAGGAGGAGAGAAAAAGAGAGAGGGGAGAGAGAGAGAGGGGAGAAGAAGAGAGAGAGATAGAGAGGAGAGGATTGGAAAGTAAAAAAAGACCCCTAAAGAAATGAAAATAAAAATTTTAAAAAAAATCCCAAAATAGAAAAAGGGCAAAAAGGGACACTACATTACCTCCCTCTGGGGATACTTTACAACAAATGTAAAAATACCTCGGTGATGGGGGAATTTTTTCCCTCAACCACTTTTAGTTTTTGTTTTTTGAAAGTATAAAAAAAATAGGGATTTGGATACACCCTTTAATCTAATAGGCAAAGTAAACAAGCATTTAATTATCCTGGTTTTGGGGGTTCACACACTAAAATTTTTCCCCAGACGTTAAGTGTTAAGAAAGAGATAAAAACTGCCCGGGGGCAGACTTACTGAGGGGGATTTGCACACCATTTTTTGGTTTAAAGGGATAGTTATTCCCCCGCCAGATTTTCGGGAAAACAGATAAAAAAGGGTAATTCCCAAATTATCTCCCCCTGGGGTTACCTAAATTGGAGGCCGGCCCAAAGGTCACTATTGACACAGGGGAGGGGAAAAGGTTTTTGGCAGAAAAAATTAAAAAGTCGGATTTTTTTGGGGGGGGACGGTGAAGTAGCCGGGAGGTGGGGACTTGTCTTATTTGTTTTTGGCCGCTTAAATAAACCCAAAAGACCCTGCGGGGGAATTTTCAAAC